CTTCTTCCTCCACCCCCACCTCCTCTTCCTCCTCTTCTTCTGCTGTTTTCTGTTTTTGTTTGTTTGTTTGTTTGTTTGTTTTTGAGACAAGGTTTCTCTATGTAGCCTTGGCTGTCCTGGAACTTACTCTGTAGACCAGACTGACCTCAAACTCATAGAGATCCACCTGCTTCTTCTTCCCTGAGTGATGGGCTTAAAGGCATGCACCACCACCGCCTGGCTTCTCCTCCTCTTTCTCCTCTTCCTTCTTCTTCTCCTCCTCCTCTTGCTTCTCCTTCTCCTCCACCTTCTTGTCGGTTCCTCTGTAGTCTAGGCTGAGTTCCAACTCACAGACCCACCTGCCTCTGTGCCTCCTGAGTGCTGGGATTAAAGGGGTGTGGCTACCACCTCCCCATACCCACCTCCAACTTTTCTCATTTTGAGAGATGCATCTCTCCAAAGGGCTACAGGTAGACCTTGATAGGCTGACAGCTAAGGCTTTCTCCAGCCTCTCGGTCAGTCCTCTTAGAACCTTCGAGTTCTGTTACAGTGGAAGGAAACAGCTTGGCCAGCCAGAGTCCTGTGTGCCAAGTACGGTCCCAGGTGCCTCACCATCTACTCACGTGATCTTTACGTGCCTATTATTTGTGAAGTACCCTGGTGCCATCCTTCTTTGTCTGGGAAGTGAGGCAGAGACTCAAGGACGCCACCAAGGTCGCCAGACTGCAGGGGCTCAGCGCCACTACATTACAGGTACAAGCGCCATTCCAGTCAAGAGGAGGCGGAGCTCATCCAGCAGATAGGCGCCAACATTAAGGAGCGGCAGAATGTCTTCTTCGACATGGAGGCCTACTTACCGAAGAAGAATGGGTAAGAGCAGGGGCCCTCTGATTTCCTACCGCAGCCCCTGCTGGGGTGTGAGATTCTGAGGAAAGGAGGGACCAGGACGAGAAAGGAGGAGAGGGCACTTCTGTACCTGCCCCTCCCAATTCAGGAGTTGCTGCAGTTGCTCCCCTGTGGCTGGGAGTGATGTCCCTGGGGACGACTCTTTTGTGCTGGCACCTGATACCTATGTGTACCACCTGGGGTAGAAGGAAAGTACTCTCTCTCAAGAGAACCAGCATGTAGTGAGTATGTTTTGCATGGCCAATATTGTACTGGGCATGCCCATGGCAGTAGTCATTTTATCCTCCACAGCCTGCTGTAGTAGATTGAAGTGTTCCAGCCTTTTGCTTTCCTCAGGGATTGAAACCAGGGTACCCTGGCATGCTAGCCAGTGTTCTAGACTCAGCGACGTCCCCACCTACTTTATTTATTTATTTTTTTTAAGGCAGGGCCTTCCTATATTGCTCTGGCTGGCCTGGAACTCTCTGTAGACCAAGCTGCCCTTAAACTTGGGATGATCCTCCTGCCTCTGCCTCCCGAGTGCTGGAATTACAGGGTTGTGCCACACTCTGCCCTTATTTACTTTCTATTTTTGAAGCAGGGTTTAGCCTGGCATGGAGTCAGATTTTTTTGAGAGGGAAGATACCTTTTAAGCCTCAGCCAGATGGGTGTTGATACAGTAGCTCAGGGACATTGCAATCCATTCCTTCTTTTCTCTTTCTTGCTGTATTTGGATGAAAAAACTCCCTAAGTTAGTTGGTATCTTCTCCATCAGTCAAGACCCTTTCCTCTAGTGGAGTGTTGCTCAAACCCTTTTTCCCCAGCTATACTCTCTGAAGCCTTTGGGGCATTTTACAGCAGTTGGGAATCTTTATTGCACAGGCTAGAAAACTCAAGAGTTGCTTAAGTAGAAACGACGGATTTGTAGCTCAGATGTTAGTATGAGTATAGACCAGGTGTGGATGGCTCCTGCCGTTTAGATGCTTTTAGAACCCTAGTCTTCTCCATTATGCATATTTATTCTGTTCATAGGTGGGCCTTTTCTATAAACTACCCTAGCTATGCTAGGCTTGCTCCTACCTGTCTAGCCATAGGGGGGGAAAAATCTGATTCCTTGGTGGTCTAGTGCCTTTTCACTGGATTAGATTGTGTCCCGTAAATTTAACCTAATCAAGAAGGCACAGTGTTTGGATTAAGCTATCTTCATGTGTCTTTTGGGGCTGTTCTCTGAAGGGATTGCATTGCCTTCGCAGGATATGGGGCTGAGTGCTAGGTAGGAAATCCAAATGTCCCCTTAATACTGCAGTCTTCTGCAGACTGGCCGTGCCCGCAGAAGCCCCTCATTGCCGGAAGGAAGGCCCCCTGCTCTCATTTCTCCTCTCTGACTTCTAACAATTTTTCAAAGCACAGTTCACGTCCCATTGCCTCAGTGAGATCTTTCCAAAGCCCCGTCCATCCCAGGAATTTGCTCTTGCTCCCTCAAGTCTCCAGGAGCCTGTGTTTGCACTGTTGTTCGTGTGTCAGAGCACAGGCTGTTGAACAGAGGCCTAGTCACTGTGGTTCACATGAGAGCTTCTCCAGGGGCTGGAGAGATGGCTCAGTGGTTAAGAGTACTTGTTGCTCTTGCAGAGGACCTGTGGTCAGTTTCCCAGCACCCACATGGCGGCTGACAATTGTCTGTAACTGTAGCTCCAGGGGGTCCTCATGTCCTCTTCTGGAGGACATGTGTGGCCCTACACACGTGTACATATGCACATATGAACGAAACTTCCATACACATGAGAGAGCGAGCGAGCATGAGAGTGCACTTCCCTCTGTCATGAAGAGACAGAGGTAAGAGGCCAAGAGCCGTGGGCTCGTGAGACCATCAAGGGGCCATAGTTCCTCTGGCTGATGTTTCTCTACCCGCCAGGAGCCGTCCTCCATGAGGACAAAGACAGTTCCCACCATCACCGTCTCAGGAAGGGAAAAGAGAGGGAGGAAATTTCGCAAATGATCTCTTTTTACAAAGAACAGTTGCCACGTCTTGAAACAGCTAAACAGATAACATGCTGTGATCCAAACACGCCCTTCCGGCCTGCGTACCCAGTGGTAACGATTGCTCGTGTCCCTACATTTATTTCTGAGTGTGCCTGTCTGCGGGCACACACATCCTGGTGTGTGTGTGGAGGACAGAGGACACCTTGCCCGAGTCTGTTTCCTCCTTCTATCATGTGAGTTCCAGGGATTGAGCTCAGGTCGTCAGGCTTGGTGGCATGTACTCTTATCCACTAACTGGCCTAGAATCTTTTTTAAATTGACCTGAATGTCGGATACATGTCTTTGACTCTTTGCATGTAAGTTATTCATACAAGTAGTCACATGTTTGCATCTGGCTGCAGAAGGAGGCTGGGAGATACGGCCTGTAAGTCAGCTTCAGGGGGGAAACATGTTCCTACGGTAATGTGTACAGTTGCCATGCTCTCTGGTTAGCCATTGTTCTCAGCCAGCGTGGGCCCTTTTGCCCACTAGCCTGGCATCCTGTTTTCTGGTTTGCGACGCACAGTGTGCATTCATTTAAGCTTGAAAGGTGTTGGTTGCGCCCTCACAGGTCTTTCCTTCCAGGCTCTACTTGAATCTGGTTCTTGGCAATGTGAACGTGACCCTGCTCAGCAATCAGGCCAAGTGAGTATGCTCAGATCCCATCCAACTTGTTAGCATTGAGGCTCGGCTGTCTGGCTTTCTGACCTCAGTGGGGGAGTGGTTTGGGGGAACCTCTTATGTTTTACTTTCCCAATATGTTGGTGGTTAGTACTCCCCCATTTCCCATGAGAGCTACACCTGTTCTGTCTTACATCTTACATAGCATTTGTCCTGGGGAAACGGAGAGTCCTGTCTAACCAATACTAGGGGACATTTCCAGGTGTCATTAGCCCTTATTTCTGCTGCAATCTGTAGGTAAGAGCCTGTCTGTGACCTCTGTCTGTCCTCAGCACGGTCCCAAAGCCCAAGGACAGGGCCCTTCTGTAGTTGGTCCTCTTTCCTTCACTAGATATCACTAGCTGAAGGTCAGGTTCCGCTGTAGATCGATGGGCAGGATGTGGCAGCGGAGGCAGGGCCTGGGGCTGCTGGGGCGGAGTGGGATGGTAGCAATGTGAGACCTTTCCCGGGGTGTCTGTCCTGGCAGGTTTGCTTACAAGGACGAGTATGAGAAGTTTAAGCTCTACCTGACCATAATCCTGCTTCTGGGTGCCGTGGCCTGTCGCTTTGTCCTTCACTACAGGTAATGGGGCATGGCAGTGTGTGTAGGAGGGCATGGGGGCATGAGGAGGGGCTCCTCAGGGAGGGCCAGTCCTGACAGGAGGTGCCATTCCTGTCCACCTCATATCCATCTAGGAAGTTTTATGGAATAGCTGCTGGCAGGCAGGGACTCATGATGTCATAGTCGACAGTCCAGTGTGTTTGTGTATACACTGGAATGTGACAAAGCCTGAACATGGAGTTCAATGCTGACATGCTGTAGCAAATGAGTTTCAGCAGCATCGTGCAGAGTGAAGGAAGCCAGGTACAAAAGGCCATAGTGTACATATCCACTGATATGAAATGTCCAGAAGGGACAGGTGCCACAGAACTTGCCGTGGGAAGCAGGAACAGGGAGTGGCTATTTTTGGGCACCAGCATTTTCTGTTTTTTTTTTTTTTTTTTTTTTTAATTCTTTTTTTTTGTTTTAATTATTTTATTTTATGTGCATTAGTGTGAAGGTGTCAGATCCCTTGGAATTGGCATTATGTACATTTGTGAGCTGCCATGTGGGTGCTGGGAATTGAACCCCAGATCCTCTGGAAGAGCAGACAGTGCTCCTAACCACTAAGCCAGCTCTCCAGCCCCCAGCATTTTCTTTTGAGGGTGGTGAAATGCTCTGGAATTAGTCAATAGAATAACAACATGGACAAAAGACACCAAATTACATGCTTCTAAAAATTGTTGTTGTTGTTGTTATTATTATTATTATTATTATTATTATTGCCTTGATACATCTCTTTGTAGCCCTGGCTGTCCTGGAACTTACTCTGTAGACCAGGCTGGCCTTGAATTCACAGAGATCTGCTGCCTCTGCCTCCCAAGTGCTGGGATTAAAGGTGTGTGCTACCCAGCCTTTAAATTACACACATTTTTATGGTATGTGGAGTGTATCTCAGTTACAAAGCCATTTGGTAGGGCTGAGGTGACCCAGTTGGGAGGGTGTTTGCTTGGTGTGCAGGAAGGCCTTGGTTCGGTCTCCAGCACCGAGTCAACCAGGGATGGTGGACATCCCTGTAATGCCAGCTCTCAAGAGAGTGGAGGAAGGAGGATCAGAAGCCCAGGCTCATCGATGGCTACAAGAGAGTTGGAGCCCAGTGTAGGATATTTGGGACGACTGATACATGGAAAGATTGCATGAAGAACAAAAAGAACCAGGCCAGGCCTTCTGAGTTGAAATCCTGGCTTTGAAACCGAATGATGTATCTGTGGGCAGATTCCCTGTGGAGTCCTCAGTCTCTCCATTTGTCAGACGGTGGCAGCAGGCCGTACCTCGGAGGGTTACAGCCAATCACTATGTGTGGTAGTACTCTGCGTGCCCCTCACTGACTGCAGAGAGAGGGAGAGAGAGAGAGAGAGAGAGCAGACTGAGCTGAGCATGGAAAAAGGAGCCGTACTGCCAGGAGGGTCTGGTCCATTCTCTCTGCCTGGGTTTTCTGCTCTAAGGAGGGAGACAACCAAGTGTGGTTTAGACATTTGGCCTGAGTGTCAAGGGTTTATTTCCTGGCATGCGCTTTGCTGCAGAGAGTCCAGATGCTGGCCCAGCTACTTGAATTTCCCAACAAAGGCCCTTGCAGGCTCTTAGTCCATGCCTGCCTGCTGCCAGTGCCCAGCTGGTGCCCCCGAGGGTAAAGGCTGCACACACCAGTAATGCCTGCTCATCTGCCCCTCTGGAAGAGAGAGGAGTTCTTGGGAAGCCATCGCAGGGCCTTACACTGGGGCCCCTGGGTTCCTCCCAGGGCAGCCTGTGGTGTATCGTGTTCTAATTTAGTGTCTAAGCTTCCCCTCGAGCCCTCCTCTTATCCATGACTCCCCTACAATCTCTCTAATGAAGTTTTATCGACTAGAGGACTTAACACAGCAGAAACATGTTCTGGAGCCTGGAATTGAGAGGTCAGGGTGTTGGAGGACAGTGCTGGCTCTGAGTTCCAGGTTCCGACAAAGCTCTTTCGTGTCTCTCTTTGCTTTCATCAATCGGTGTTTTTTTAGTACCCCAGCACCCCATTAACACTCCGGTTGCTGAGTGGGCTGGGTAGCTAGGAAGGGAGCCTCTGCTAGACCTTGATATAAGTGGGTAGAGATGGCACAGGGTGGGGCAGAGGCAAGAGGAAGCGGCCAAGAACTGGTAGGAACACTGGGCATTTCTGGTCCTGGCTATCCTGTCAGGGTGAGGGGAGAGCTCATGCTGTTCCCTGGGGGGTGTTTCTTCTAACCAGGGTGACAGACGAAGTCTTCAACTTCCTGCTCGTGTGGTATTACTGCACCTTGACCATTCGGGAGAGCATTCTCATAAGTAACGGTTCCAGGTAAGCAGAGGCTCTGTTTGTGGGGATGGTTGGTTGGAGGGCGGAGAGCCAAAGAGAGATGTTGACACTCAGGGCTGGGGAGACCATCCGTGGTGCTTTTGGTGTAATGTCACCTATTTTATGCTCAATCTCTTGGTGAAAAGCAATGGAAACCCTAAGTCACACTGATTTCCTGTCATTAGAAATCTGTTGTCTAGGGCTGGAGAGATGGCTCAGTGCTTAAGAGCACTGGCTGCTCTTCCAGAGGTCCTGAGTTCAATTCCAGCAGCCACATAACAATCCATAGTGAGATCTGATGCCCTCTTCAGGCATGCAGGTATACATGCAGGCAGAATGCAGTATACATAATAAAAAAATAAATACATCTTTAGTAAAATGAATAAATTATAAAAAGTAAATTTAAATTAAAAAAGAAACCTGTCATCTCATAAAAAAACAATAGGTTCGCTGGGACTGACTTCAGGTAAGGTTTCAGTCAAGGTCTGGGTGATACTCAGTTTCTCTCCATCTCTCACCCTCCTGTTCTGTGCTATCTATTCTTGGGCTCAATATAGGGTACTCCAACAGCCTTTGGCTTATGTCACCACTGACATAAGAAAATAGGGCACACTTCCTTTTTTCCAAGAGTCACACCAGCCTTGTTCCATTGGCTGGGCGCAGGCACTGGCTGGACCGTATCTCTGAACCAGCTATTGTCACCAGAGAATTCAGTGATGTGACTGGCCAGGCGTGAGTGCTGCACACATCACAGCTCCAGTGACAGACCTGACTGGGACATTGAGAGAATGAAAAAAAGACAAACATACACAGACACATGGTCTCACAGAAATGACTAGGTGCTCTCATTCCCTCCTCCGCCCCCCCTGGAGACAGGGTTTCTCTGTGTAGCCCTGGCTGTCCTGGACTCGCTTTGTAGGACAGGCTGGCCTCAAACTCACAGAGGACCACCTGCCTTGCCTCCCAGAGCACTGGGATTACAGGTGCACACCACACCCGGCATGACTGGGCTCTCTGATGGAGAAGCCGCAGCACCCCAGAAGCTCATGGCGTTTGTGATATAGAGTTGAGTAGAGGGGTGTAGTCAGTGCGCACAGCTGAACTCGGAGGAGGGGCTAGTATAAGCAGCTGACTGAGGAGACAGGGTTACTGCACACCGATAAACCAGGTGACAGGGCTATTATGGTAGACAGCAGGACCCAGGAGACAGTTTAAGTGATGTCAATAGGAGCAGTCTCTTCAGGGGAGCAATCTTCAGTCTGTAAATACGTGGGGGAAGAAAACTATAGTGGACATTCCAGCTTTGCCATGTCCTCATGGGTCTGAGGCCTGGAGCTCTCTGACAGGGCTGTGCTCATGTCAACAGCACATAACCACCCAGGACTTCGGTCATGGCTTCCTCTGCTCCTCACACCGAGTCTCACCTTCCCCTGGGTCCAACAGCGGCATAGATGCAAGTGTGAGGAGGGGAATGGATCCCTGGAGGAGCATTGTTCCTGGGGGAATGAGTGGGTTTTGGCGAAATGAGTGGGCTATCTTCCACAGGAGAGGTGAGGAGAGTGTGGACCAGTGATGGGGTTCTTGTAGAACACCTCCATTGTGCCAGGAAATTCTGGGGTGTCTCTGAACAGCTCTGGAGCACCGGGCAGGTCATGGCCCCTCTTTGGACTGTTTCCGTGTCCTCTGGGAGAGTTGCCGTGTCTCACTGTCAGTATGAATCTAGCCAGAAGGAGGTTCCAGAAGACCCACTTTTTTTTTTCCTTTTCCTTTTCTTTCTGTCCGTTCTGCCTGCCTCTGAGCAGAGTCTTAGGACCCAGTTAAGATCTGTGATTTGGGGGACTGGAAAGATCGCCCAGCAGTTAAGAGCTCCTGCGACTCTTGCAGAGGACACACTTTTGGTTCCCAGCACCTGCATGGTGCCTCACAGCTGGCTATAACTCCAGTCCCAGGGGTATCCAGTACCCTTTTCTGGCCTCTGAGGACACGAGGCACACATGTGGAGCACATTCGTACATGCAGGCAAAACAGCCATGCACATAAAATAAAAATAAAGTTTAAAAAGATCCATGATTTGGGGCTGGCAAGATTGCTAGCTGGTAAGGGCTCTTCAGTGCAAAACCTGCCAGCCTGGCTCCAGTTCCTGGGACCCACATCGTGGGAGGAGGGAACCAACTAAAAGGTGTTTTCTGACCTCCACACACTCCCACCCATGATTGATAGATAGATAGATGGATGGATGGGTAAGTAGGTAGGTAGATGAATGTAATTAAAATATTTTTAAAATTTATAATATGCTAGGGGTAGTGGTGCCTGCCAGCACTCAGGCGGCAGGGGCAGGTGGATCTCTGAGTTTCAGGCCTGCCAGGGTGGCATAGGACCTGTTTTTTAAAATTCTGACTCCTACTTTAATTTCTTAACCCCTTCCTACTTCCTTGTGAAAATTGTCTCTCTTGTGTGCAGGGGACATGTGCAACGCTGTTACAAGTGTGGTCAGGTGGCCACCTTGTAGTTGTCAGTTCTTTCTTTTGACCGCATGGATCCTGGGAGCTGAGCTCAGCTTGGTTAGGCCTGGGGGCAAGTGCCTTTTCCTTTGAAGCCATCTTGTTGGTCCTACCTTCCCTACTTCCTCCTTCCCGGGAGCAAGGGAGGATAATCCTAGAGCTGAGTGTTTAACTGCTGCCTGTGGTGGCACACGCCTTCAATCCCAGCACTCTGGGAGGTAGAGGCAGGTGGATCTCTGTGAGTTCCAGGCCCGTCTGGTCTACAAAATCAAGTTTCAGGACAGCCAGGGATACACAGAGACACACCCCTCAACCCCCACCTCCACCCCGGCCAAAACACCAACCAAAACAAAAGACTTTGTCATCTTCCAGCCACTCCCGTCCCCCAAGCCGTGTGACATCTCCCCACTTTCCTGCCTGGGGGTCCCCTGCAAGTTCTCACCCTGAACACTGAGCCAAGAGCGAAGGACCAGTACTGCCAGCCCACCAGGGGGCACAGCAGGGCTTAGGGACATAGCCTGTAGCAGGTAGATAAAGTTGTGTTTCTCCAAGTGTCCTCATCCTTATCCTGTCCGTGCCACGGTTGCCATGCATCTGGGCCGTGAGTTCCCCACATCATGAATCAACCCCTTTATCTACCTATCTGTCTGTCTGTCTGTCTGTCTGTCTATCATCTAGACTGGGTTCCTCCTGCTTTAGCTTCCTCAGGTGCTGGTATTTCAGGTGTGTGCCACCATGTCGGGCAACAGTTCTCCCACTTTTTTGTGGTGGTTGTTGGAACAGGGTGTCACTATGTAGACTACTCTGGCCTTGAACTCACAGAGATACTCCTTCTGGCTCCCAGCTGCTGGGATGAAATGCATGCAGCACCCCTCCCACACCCCCATTTTCACTTTCTGGTTTCCTGCTCTCTTCTGTCCCTTTGGATTTGCTGTTAGCCTTGTTGTTTCTGTTGAACACATTAAGAGCACTGGGGGCCTGAAAAGAGATAGCTCAGTGGTTAGGAACTCGTCTTAGTCCTTTTTGTTGTTGTTTTTGAGACAGGGTTTCTCTGTGTAGCCCTGGCTGTGCTGGACTTACTCTGTAGTCCAGGCTGGCCTAGCACTCACAGAGATCCACCTGCCTCTACCTCCCGAGTGCTGGGATTGAAGGCGTGCAGACAAATAGTAGAGGACTACTGGGAGCATGTTGGTAGTACTTACTCTGTTTTTGTGTTGTCTTAGTGTGTTTTCTGTGGCTGGGCCGTTACCAGAGAGGAAGGAACAGAATTACCAGAGAGGAGGTGCCCTGGAAGGATGAGTCGGATCAGGGCGCTAATGGTGTCAGCTGTGTAGAGCTTCAGAGCACCCTTACTTGCTTAAGTGTAGCAGGAGCTTTTCTGGGTTCCTTGGAGCAGGGATGATGGTCTGCACTTATGGTGTCAAGCTTTGTGTGGGGATCTGCCCAGTCCATGCCCTCATGTGCCGTCCGTCACACACTGGTTTTGTTCTCTAAGCGTCAGACCCTGCGTTAGAGATTTCGAGATAACTCACCTTTTGCCTCTAGGAACCACCCACACACAGACTTTAAAAAAAAAAAAAAAGAGGCTTTCCTCACAATCCCATGCAGTAGTGGAACTATTTCTCAAGGCCTGGGAGAGCCTGGAGCAGACCCAGTGGGCCCTAGCTTCTAGAGTGACTGCAGGAGCTGCTGCCAGCCTGTGGGGAGACAGGGCAAGGCAGATGGGCGACTCTGTTCATCTTAAATTTCTTTCTATTTATTCATTGTCTATGTATCGTTTGTGTGTGTGTGGATACGAATGCAGCCATGTGTGTGTTAATTGTTTTGCATCTGTTTCATTGTGTGTATCAGCAGGCAGGCATGTGCAACTAGTACATCGTAATTTTTGCATTTGCTTATCGTCTCTGTGTATGCGGGTGTGCACATGCAATTGTGTCTTGGGTTTTTTTTTTTTTTTAATTTATCGTATTTATGGTCTGTGCGTAAATGGACGTGCACATGCCACCGTGTCCATGTGGAAAATAGGGCGCAACCTGTTGTCTCTTCCACCATGAAGGTTCTGGGGATTGAACTCAGGCCGTCAGTCTTAGCAGCAAGTGCTCCTCCCATTGAGCCATTCTGCTGATCCCTCTCTCACCCCTTAAGTATCACAGGGTCTATGCAGGGCTGATACCCAGTAAACACACCATAAACCTTGCTGAGATGAATGAAATCTGGGCTCTTCAGTGAGGAGAGGTCTTTGGTGATACCTAGGGTTTCCTGGGACAGCCACACAGACCTCCTGGGAAGGGCTCCTTGAAGTGCATTGTCCTAATTCCTGCTTTGTACCTGGGAGCAAAATTGGAACAGAAGGAATGGTCAGGGAAAGCAGGCCTGCGGCAGTGGAGTGGGGATCATCCTCCTTTGAGATGGAGACATCCTTGCTGAATCCCATACCTCTCACTACAGGTGTCACCGATTAGCTCAATAAAAAACAGCTTTCCCTTGTGTAGAGGGATTTTAATCCAGCAACATGGCTACTCTTCCTAGAATACAGACATGCCCTTAGCACACACTTTTAATCCCAAACAATGAAGGTAAAATTTGTTTGTAAAAGGAAGCACCCATGTTTAAAAGTGATGCCTAATTGAGAAGCAGACAAAGTGACAAATCAGAGAAAAATTTGACAGAATGAGTCAGGATAGGACAGGCCCTATCACATGAAGAAACAGGAAAAAGAGGATTTAGGAGAGCAGAGCAGAGAGAGAGGAGGAGGAGGCTGTTTTACCAGGAAAGTTTTACAGAGATAGGCTGGAGAGAGAACAAGCTAGAGACGAGTAAAGACAAACGGGCCAGAGAATGAGAAGGAACCAGAAGATTAGAACAGATTGCTAGAGTTAGTTTGAGGTCAAGCAGAGCAATTCATTCAGAAGCTGAGAGAAGCCAGTTCGAATCAGTCAGCTTGGAGAGGAGTTTAAGCTAGCCAGAGTTCAGAAAGAACTAAAAAGGGTGAGCTTATTCAGCAGCTTATTTCAGCAGAGGCTGAAAACATTCTAGATTGTATGGAGGCTAGAAGCTTCCAGAACTAGGCCTAGGTTAGCAGACAGAGGCAGTAGAGGACAATTAGACAGGCAAATAAAGGATTCTTTTATACCCTTATATTTTGCAATGTTGGAAATCCACCTAACAGAGACCAAATCAGAAGGTTGCTCCACTGCTGCTTTTACTGGGACATTCAAGGAGGCAAGAAGGGCTCCAGCCATGCCAGTAGCCCCATTGGCTACCTGTTTTCCCTGCTTTACTCCCCACAGCCCAGGCTGGCTTCCCATGGCATCGCCAATGCTGGAACAGGAAGCCTTCCTGTCACTCCCACACAGCCAGTGGGAGTCTTGAGAAAGGCTTCTGATTAGCTAGGCTTAAGGCACTTGCTCACTTTTGAGCCAATCACTGTGGCTGGAGGGCTGCAGAACCCAGAGGGCAGGCTCCGAGCTCTGTGTCCAGATACATTCCTCATCTCCATTTAGGCTCCTGAGTGGCTGAGGTGCTGCCCCATAAGGAAGCAGAGGCCTGGGAGCCGGAATGGGTGATGATTGACAGATGGCAAAGGAGTCTTTCCTTCAGGGTCAGAATGACTAATGAAGCCAACCACAGTCGCCGGCTCCCACTGGCTTTTTTTTAAGGGCTATACTTAGAACAAATGCATCCCGAAGGTAGCAGGCAGGGAGAGGGGTCTGCAGCTCCAAAGTCATCCCACCGGCTCTCCTGGAAACCCAAAGCACAAAGCCAGAAGCTGCCCAGTGAGCAGCGAGTGCCTGCCTGATGCGCCCCTCCTCTGCATGTGTGCAGGGAGGAGCAGTGAGCTCCGTCACCCCACCCCCACACAGCGCTCAGACACTAGTACATTCTGTCCCCACCTTCTAGATGTAGGTGCACCTGCCCTTCCTGGAACCCACAAGCCGCTGCAAGCTGCACTTCTACAGCAAACAGATCCAGAAAGTGACGACCAAGCAGTCCAAGTCTAGTAGGGCTGAAACAGGGGTCCAAAATTGATTGTGGTGATGATTCACACACATCTGTGAAGACGCTTAAACCCACCGGACTGTGTAGTATCTGAATGCCATCACAGTGGAAACTGTTTCATAGATAAACACATATGCACAGAACCTAGAGCCTTGGGGCATGCAGACGATGATGGCAGTGCTCACGAACGCGAAGCTGGGGAAGAAGGTGGCTTTCTAGCTTCGCCCCATGTCGCTGAGCTCTGTTTATGGGTGGCATCTGTCAGAGCTGGGCACATCGGGCTGTGAAATCAAAAGCCGCTGCTCCGCCAGGCTTGTTGCCCAGGGTCTGCGTCTAGCTCGAGCTGCTCCCATGCCAGGAGAGGGCGTTTCTCAGGGGTGCTTTGGGGGGACTAGGACAAAGGAGCCTGGGGGTGGCCAAGATCACAGGCCTGTGGCACGGCCTTGCAACGCTCTGGGGAGGTTGCAAAGCTCTTGATTGCTTGTTAAGCAGAAAGTCGAAATCTGGCAAGCCGCCTTTACTGTTGGGAAATTGGAGCCAGAGTCTTAGAAAGGTGAGCGATGCATTAGGGCTGCTGGGGACAAAGAAGTAAATGTCTTCTCCTGCCCCCTCTGTCATGTCTGTGTTGATGGCATCTAGACTCACTGCTTTTTTCCTTTTCTTTTGTAATTTTTTTTGTTTGTTTGTATTTTTGTCTTTCGAGACGAGGTTTCTCTATGTAGCCTTGGCTGTTCTGGACTCCCTTGTAGACCAGGCTGACCTTGAACTCAGAGATCTGCCTGTCTCTGCCTCCCTGAGTGCTGGGATTACAAGCATATGCCACCGTGCCGGCCTCTTGTAATTTTTAATCACTGTAGGAGTGTGTGACACTGGGTCTGAAACTCGGGTTGGGACCCCAGAGCCTAGCAAGGAAAAAAGACGGGAGCTAAAGGACAGCGTGTGAGAAGGACCTGTATCAGTCCATGGGGCTGCCACAAGATCCCCACACTGGGCGTCTTAACCAGCGACACTTCTTTCCCGTGGCTCTGAGGGCTGGAAGTCCTTGATGAAGATGTCATTAGCACCGTCGGGGGTGGAGTGGGGCTCCCTCTCCTGGCTTGCAGACGGTTGCCTTCCCATCCTGTGTTCCCTAAGGCTCCCTCTGTTCTTCCTGGCTTGTCTCTTACACAGACACTAGGTCAAAGGTCCTTGGTGAAGGCTTCACCCTTGTGTCCCCTGAAACTGTTATCTCTCCAGATAAAGTCATGCTGGAGGGAAAAAGTGATCAGACTTCAGTGTAGGAATTTGAGCACATTCTTCTGTCCGTCCTAGGCCCTAGGTAGCCTTAGGCTTGGGGGTATCTCAGTGCTGGGGAGCTGGGGGGCCGGCTGGAGAGCACTGTGCAGATAAGGATGTGTTCTGTAGGTCACAGAAACTCCTGGACAGCAGCACAGAAGATCCCTGGGCTGATCCATGTGTAGCTTGTTTGGGTTTAGACGCCTCTGCAGGAAGAGGCAGTTCTTAGGTACAGGGCAGCCCCTGTTCCTGGAGGCTAAGAAGCAGAACGCTGTCTTTACCTCTCCTGTCATCTGAATTCCTTCCTTTCTTTCTTTTTTTTGTTCTTTCCAAGAATCAAAGGCTGGTGGGTGTCTCACCATTACGTCTCTACGTTCCTGTCTGGAGTGATGCTGACGTGGTGAGTTGTTCCTCACTGGACTCTTTGACCTCCGTGGCTGGTACACGGGGAAGGGGTTCTCAAAACTGGGTTAGAGGCCCAGTGCCAGGGTCCTGCCAAGCCATCTGGAAGTTCCGTGGGGACTATTTCATAGTTGCTGTTGGCTGGGGCAGAGGTGACAGGGCCTGAGGAGTGAGAGTGACTGTCATGTCCCTTCGTTTGGGAAAGGGTGATGGGTGTGGCCTGGCCAGCTCAAGGGCAGAGGACTGAGATCAGGACTTCATTTTACCTTTGAAATGTTCTCTTCCTTTTAGTTGGAATGAAAAAGAAAGCGGAGGCGGGGGAGGTATGGACGAATGCCTGGTTTTACGGCCTGTCCCACCTCTTGTGTTTTTTTTTTTTTCCAGGCCTAATGGACTAATTTATCAGAAATTTCGAAATCAATTTTTAGCCTTCTCCATTTTTCAGAGTGAGTACTCAAGCCCGGCTTAGACGGAGGGACCTGGTTCCCTGAGCATTTTTACTGACGAGGAGGTCCCCAGATGATAATCCGTGGAGGGGGTGGAGAGAGTCCTGGCCAGAAATTTAGATCAACCCTAGCTCCCGCCCCCAACACAGTCTTTCATAGTGGTCCTAATATGCTTTATCCTTTAGAGTACAGAGAGCTCAGACACACAGTGGCCCAGCAAAGCACCAACCAGATTAGAAGCCTCTGGGGAATTTTCCTAGGCTTGCAGTAGGCACTTAATAAATGCTTTTTTGGAATGCAAGCTGTGTGGGATTATGCCGGGAGCAACAAGCAACAATGTTAAGACTCAAAAGAAGCGGCTCCACGCAGAGGGGAGCACAGATGCTAAAAATGAAGTAGCAACATAGAACTGTAGCTGTGGCAAATTATTAAAAATTAAAGTAGGCCCCCAGGGTGGTCCCCCTGGCCCTCTCAGCCCACCCACTAGCCTGCTTTTTGTTAAGGACATTGGATTTGGGGGAAGAGGCTGTGGGTCTATTTAACTTGAGCCTGGGCACTGTGCTCCCTCTACAGGCTGTGTTCAGTTCCTACAGTACTATTACCAGAGGGGCTGTCTCTACAGACTTCGGGCCCTGGGGGAGAGGAACCACCTGGACCTCACCGTGGGTGAGTAGCTGGGCAGCGGGTAGAGTTAGGAAGGCTTGTCCACATCCCTGCAATGGAAGCACAAAGCCACAAGGGCATGAGACCCCTGGCTGGGGCTGCCATTCTTTTTGGTTTGTTTGAGACAGGGTTTCTCTGTGTAGTCTTGGCTGTCCTGGACTTGCTTAGTAGACCAGGATGGCCTCAAACTGAGAGATCTGCCTCCCCAGTGCTGGGACTACAGGCATGGGCCACCACGCCTGCCTGGGACTGCCATTCTTTACCCCTTTTGCTGTTCATGATTCACCAGGGATCCTCCTGTTCCAGCCTCCAAGTGTGATAGCCACAGAGTGCTAGGCCCCTCAGGGCTGGGCCTTGACCTTACGCTTTGAGATGCCTGTAGTTTTTTGTCTGAACTTTATAACATACATAATGTTAGGCTGGGTGTGGTAGGGGCATATCTGAAGTCCCAGCTTCTTGGGAGGCTGAAATGGGAGGATTGCTTGAGCCCCGAAGATGGAGGTCAGCCTGGGCAACAGACTGTTGTTTTTTTAAATAGTCACACACACCCTCTTAACTTTGCCCCACAGAAGGGTTCCAGTCCTGGATGTGGCGGGGCCTCACCTTCCTCCTGCCTTTCCTCTTCTGCGGCCATGTGAGTCCCTCTGTTTGTGGGTACCCCTGTCAGGGATGACCCCTGGAAACAGGAGATCTTTGGGGCACCCCTCCCTCACAAGGTGTCTGTCCCATGTACCTGGGGCAAGATGACCATCCATACAAATATCACCCCAACCTAGCTCGCCGTTCTGACGTATTTCATGCCTGAGCCTCACAGATTCCTGGGCATCTGAGGGCTTCCCCACTGCTTGCTGGCATAGCGTGGGATAGGGCCAGGAGAGGGGGATAATATCAGGTGTCCCCATTTCCTCAGGATGTAGGGACACTAAAGATAGAAGGAAAATTGGTCCTTCAGACATGCTGTGTATGAGACACTTGTGGTTCCATGGGAAGGGGGTGTCCGTGGCTTGGGTAGCTGCTCTTTGACACCGGAGGCCTGGTCCATCTCCCTGGCTTTCCACATGGATCTGCAGGGAAACTGATGGGTGAGTGGTGCCTGTCTCCCTGTCTCCAGTTCTGGCAGCTCTACAATGCCGTCACGTTGTTCGAGCTCTCCAGCCACGAGGAATGCAAAGAATGGCAGGTATCATGCCTACATTTGTCAGGCTGGCTGGCAGTAGGGAGTGGGGGGGGAGGCTCTTGGAAAGAGGTGGGCTGGGCGGTCATGGGGGGGGGGACTCTGAGCCCTTGTTTCTCTGCGCTGGGCTGCTCCTGCCCAAAGTTCTCTGCTGCTGGGGCCTGAGAAGAAACAGTGGGAAGGAACTCAGGAGATCATGGGGCCCTCAGCGTTGCTGAACGAAGGAAGATTATCCCATTGAGCACTTTTCTAGAACCCCACCTGACCTTGGGGAATGTTACTTTATTCACTTCCTTCGTTTTTCTGGTCCTGCCTGTAGCTTTGCTGAGAGTTTGGGGTTGGGGTTAGAGGCAGGTTCTTGGGCCGTGGAACTGACTTCTTCTCTTTACTCTTCCCCCCAACCACCACCACTCTGGGTATTTCGGGGTGCTGCGTGTCTGGATCGAGCAGGTGTTTGTGCTGGCTCTCACCTTCCTCATCCTCTTCCTCGGCAATTTCCTGACCACACTCAAAGTCGTGCACGCCAAACTCCAGAAGAACAGAAACAAGACAAAGCGGCCATGAGCCTTCGGACTCTTGTGTCTGGGGTTCTTGGGACTTAAGACTGCTGAGGATTCCAGTCAGCACCCTGGCTGCCAGTCACTGGTAGCCTCAGGCAGCAGCTTCTCAGGGGCCAGCAGCATCGCTGAGAGCAGGGCCAAGGCCCTGGTCCCTGGCCAGGAATGTGAAGGCCGCCTGTGCGCACAGTATTAGCCTGCCCCAGCTCCGTATTTATAACATATTTAATGCCGGGTCTTCCCCACGTCCCTGGAATTGGAGGCCTTTCCCCAAAGCTCTGGGTAATGGCGGTGGCCAGGTCTGTGTCTGTCTTCCAGGGAAGGGCAAAAAGCCTCAGGGAACCCCTCTCTTCCTACTCCTGTCATTTGAACCCCTCACTGGGGTTTGGCTGTGCCTCACCGGGGTTGGCTTTAGCTGACCTGCTTTTACCGTGTCCCAGGCACTGGGCGGAACGAAGCTTTGAGCATCCTGTGGAGTGGCCCCCTGCCCTGGGCCACCACCTCTGCTGTAAGCCTCCCACAGGCCCCACTCTCTGTGGTGGTGGGGGAATATTTAAGTTCTCAGAGAACCTACCTGTCTTGTCTCTTGCCTTGTGTCTCCTGAACCGCCCGCCTTTCTACTGGCCACTTGGGGAAAGTGGCGCAGCCTCCTCGGATCTTCGAGATCTCGGCTCCGTGGAGCCCAGGTGGCAGGGTTTTAAGGACGGTCTCCACCAGGGGGCGCCAAGCCTCTGGGTTGTTTGCGTTCTAGCAGGCTGCTGGGGGTTTCTTATTGGCACCCTTCAGCCTTCCTTCACAAACTCGCTGTGAGAACTTGACATAATCCAGACCCTCAGTGTGACTGGCATTTAAGGTCACCCATTCCCTGCCCCTCTCCACCTCAGGGGTTCTTGTTTGTGTGGGAAGGGGAGGGGTGGGGCCTGAGTGGGCTCAGCCCAAGGTGCGACCCTGTGAGATTCAGGCAGCAGCAAGGGCGGAGGAAGAAACAGGCTCAAGAGTGTCCTGTCCCCTCCCACCCACGGGCTGCAGCTGCCCGCCCAGCTCCACATCACAGCTGTCGTCCTCAGACATGCTTCATTTGGTCCTCACAGAAGTTTTTAAATTCTTTAGTTATGCGATAAAAATGAGATCTCACCTTCCCCCCACGCTGAGATGCCACAGAAGAATCCAGATTTCTGTTTACCTTACTAAAATGGAAAAACCTGGCAACATTCCCAAAGGGCAAGAGCAGGCACCTGCTCCTGTTTGCGGCAGCCTGCCCCTCCCTTCATCCCTGCCCTACTTCTGTCCTTGGTCTCCTGTCCTTGAATCGCCTGGCCTGTGCAGGTACCCGGGCTTGCCCCAGATTGGGAATCAGCAGTTTCCACATTAAGGCCCAGAGAATGAGTATGTTAGGCTTTGTGGGATAGTCCTGTGGTAACTTCAGCCTGCAGTTGTAGAACAAAAACTACCATTACATACTTGTGGCTTTTCAATAAAACTTTATTTACAAAAACAGGCAGGGGCTACATGTGAACCACAGGCTGTGGTTCACTGACCACAGCTCCACACCTTTCTATCCCCAATGTCTTGGATTCTGAAAGAGCAAGAGGTCCGTGGTTGGCTCCTCAGGGGACAGGGCCTTGGAACACTAGGGGGAGGGGGTCCTTGGCAACTTGACTTTGGGGGCTGAGTCAGGAGGTACTGGGACAGATGGGTCAGCCAAGGCCATGGTTTCATGTTGGGTGATGCCTCCATCTTGGAGGCACTGAGGTGGGATGCCTGGCTTGAAAAGTTCCGAAACGCAGACTCTAGACCTTCCAGAAGGCATCAGGACTCGAGAATCTTGCCATGGGAGACACTGGTGATCTGCAGGCGAGTTCCGAGAAATTGTCCAGTGTGGGGAGGGGTGGCCATGTCAGTTCTGGAATGAGGCAGGGGTAGCCTACTCCTGACCTCCACATCATGGTAGAATCAGAGACTGAGTGTGGTGAAGAGCCTGACTACTCAGATGACCCAACTCCAGCCATTTAGAGATGGGACATAGTTCAGGGTGAGCACATCTGCCATCAGGAGCATGGGCACTGTCCATCAGGAGTCTCCAGTGGAAATCGGCTAAGGGTTTGGAGGAGAGACCTAGAGCAGGAATCAGATGGGTGGCCTACACACATTTTGACCTTTTGAGAGGTTGTTTCTTCTCCACTTTAACATGTGTCTCAGTCTGTGACCAAGGCTGAAGCAGAAGTCCTCAGTGTGGTGTGAAGGGAGAGGCCGGTGCCAGCCTCATGTCCGGCTTGATGCCTGTGTTCTTCTGATAGGCTGTGACCGCCAGGTTCCTGAGGGGAAGCAGGAAGGGGCTGGAGGATGTAGCTGAGCCTATCTCAAGAGCTCACGGAGACAGGGACTCTGAATAGCATTGCACATCCACATGAGTCTCGATGTTGCTCTGAGGTTTTAGCATGAGTTGGGTTTGGAAAGGAAACAGGCGTGGCTGGGGCAAGGAGGAGCTGTGACAAGGAGGGCCCTCCTGCAGCCTGGCGACGAGTGCCCGTCCCAGGGTAGAGTCCCGGTGGGGTCTGGCATCCGCATTCACCGCTGAACTACAGTGTGACCCCAAAGGGGGTAGCTCCAGAATGTTCTGAGAGTCTAGCCCCAGGTGCCGGGCACCGCAAGGCTGTGATGGGGCCCGGGTCCCTCGCTGTGTTCCGCTCTGGGCTGTGTCCCAGGTTCACAGCAGCAGGCAGATCCTGTGCTTTTTCTTCCTCTGTGCTTTCTTGAGGGCGCTGAGGGCCACCTTGGCGGCTTCCCTGAAAACATCTTCCACGTTCTCCCGAAACTTGGCAGAACACTCCAGATAGAGTGCAGCTTGCATCTGTTCACAGGCACTCAGGCCCTGGGGAGGCCGGGAGAGGGAGTGTTAATTAGATAGGGGCCTGGGGCCTCCTGACACCCCTGGCTTTGGAGGCCCTCCAGAGTTGGAAACCTAACCTTGGGGGGACCCCTGCCTCTCCACGGCTGGATGGAAGAAGCCCCTTGCTGGCCCTCACCCATCTCCTTCCCTCTCCAGCTTCCAGCGGAGAGGGAAGCTGAGTTCTGAGACCTGGGGCTAGGGCTACATCTCAAGCTGTATCCCGGTTCCTTGACAGGGCAATTTAGGCAACTGAGTTTCCTGGCAGGGTGAACTAATAAAAATCTTGGTCTTCCTATTATTAGTGCTTCTTTTTATTTTATTTATTTGAGACAGGGTCTTACTGTGTAGCTCTAGCTGGCCTGGAACTTGCTATGTAGACCAGGCTGGCCTTGAACTTACAGAGATCCACCCGCATCTGCGTCCTGAGTGCTTGCTTTTTCTCTTTCTTTCTTTCTTTCTTCTTTCTTTCTTTCTTTCTTTTTTTTTTTATACTCTTAGACCCTTGTTTGTCTCAGCTCCCCTAAAAGTCTGCCAAGGCACTGCAGTTGAGAAGGCAAAGGCCTAGGTGGTTTCTGGCTAGGGGTATTCAAGGATCGTGGATCTGAGTGGTAGCGGGGACCCTGGTCCACCTGTGTGTAGGTGATGGGCTCCAGCTGGGCTGCCCGGAGCTTCCGCAACTGCTCCTTGTCCTTCCTCAGGTCTGTCTTGCAGCCGATGAGCACCGTGGGGGTCCCTCGGCAGAAATGTGTGACCTCAGGGAACCACTGAGGAGGGAGAAGGTAGGATATCAGGGCAGAGACTCCCTGGGGCTGACCCCCTCTCTCGGAGGAAGGCAGGACAGTACCTTGATGAGGACGTTGTCGTAACTGGTGGGGTTCATGACATCATAGCAGATGAGGACGAGGTGTGTGTTCTGGTAGGACAGAGGCCGCAGCCGATCATAGTCTTCCTGCCCTGAAGCCAGAGAGGGGTCAGAGGCATGAGTCCCTGTCTGCCTGGGGGCCCCTTCTAAGCTTCAATGGGGAGATGACCTCGGGCCTACTTTCCTAGTTTATAAAATGGGCGGGACAGGGAAAGAGGTGACAGATTGTATGCCAAACCCACGCGGTGCCCAGCTGGACTGGTAATAGAGAAGATCTGCAAACTGCAGCCATTCTGCCGAGGATGTCTGTGCTCCCCTGCCTGACAAGCCTGAGACTCAGAACTGGGGTCTTTGCCACCCAGATCTCCCCAAGGCCCAGAAGGGTGTGCTGAGCTCCAGCATCCTTGGTTCTGGGGCACCTGCCTGGATTTCTCTTGCCCATTTTTACAAATGCTGATGAGGTAGGAATAAGCACATTCATTACCATATCTCACCTGGCCCTTCAGCTGAAGCCCACCTGAGGAGCTTCCAGACCCCACCTTCTATAACCCCTCCAATCAGAACCTAGAAGCTGGGCCTAGGCTTTCTTTAGCTTTTGTAAATTTTGGAGGTAACTTTTTGTTTTGTTTTTTGAGACAGGGTTTCTCTGTGTAGCCCTGGCTGTCCTAGAACTTGCTCTGTAGACCAGGCTGGGCTGGAACTCACAGAGATCCACTTGCCTCTGCTTCCTGAGCGCTGGGATTAAGGGTGTGTGGCCCCACCGCCCAACTGGAGGCAACTTCTTAATTTTTAAATTTTATTTTGTTTTTTGACATAGGATCTTACTATGTAGCCCTGGCTAGCCTGGAACTTGCCGTGTGGACCAAGCTAGTTTCAAAAACTCACAGCCATCTGCCTGCCTGCCTCTGCCTCTGCCTCTGTGTGTACCGCCATGCCTAGCTGGAGGGAGCTTCTTTGGTGAAGTTTTAAAGGTCCAGAGAGAGGAGTCTACGAGGAAGAACACAGGACGCCCGAGCCAGGACTCGCCTGCTTCATCTGTCCCTGAGAGCCGGCCTGGGAACCTCCCACTCTAGCCACACTGCTCTCCCAGCAGGATGTCTCGGGGCAGCCGTCCCATGCTTGTCATGGCCCTGGCGTCAGGCCCAGAGAGCCCCACCGACCCTGTCCTTGACCCACTCTGAATTCAGATTTCACCCATTTCACCAAAGAGCTCTTTTCCCCCTAGTTTAGGAACCGGGCAGGATGACCCTTCATCCTGAGTCACCGTGCAAAGGCATTTTTAAAAATTAGGTTCGGACGGAGCACCTAG